ATGATAGGAATGAACAAAAATTGGACAGTATTGGAAAAAGAAGCCCAGGACAGAGTTGTTTGGAGAAAACTGGTGGGCGGCCTATGCTCCATTGGGGGTAACAGGCGTAAGTAAGTAAGTGAGTAAGAAAGCCTTCGTTCACTCCGAACGACTACAAATAATTGTGATATAATTCTAATTTCTTTACGCAACACTTGATTACATCGATTGATGTAAAAGGTAGCCACCTAGAATGAAAAACATTTTACACTTTCAACAACTAACTGGTTTAACACATAGATGTAAAGCCAATATGGTAAATTGGCTGAAACTGAAAAGTAGACTATTTTGACTTTCAATTCATTCTGCGAATGAAAAATCAGTTACTGTGATGTTGAAAGGCTTCAATTTTAATCTCAGAATTTGATCACTACTGAAAAGTCTTATACTAAAGTAAAATAGTTGTCTTCCCGTCTCTATGTTTTTTGAATAATACTCCAAATAACCTGATGATTTATGATATAATCACCTACATAACAAATGAATCTTTAACAAAAGCTTTGAACAAAAAGTTATACAGCAAAATTTCAGTATGAACTATTAACTAACATTCAATCACCAACAATGAATCATAGAGAAAGGTGATGATGATGATGATGATAATGATCATGTTCACCTCCAATAGATGTTGATAAAGCAATTTATTTCATCTATGAGTAAATTAAATTTCTCATTTGTGCTATATCGGAAGTTCTATAAAATTTATTGATTTAATAATCAACCTGATATCATCGATTGACTGATCAAAAGAGTAAACTGAATTGATAAACCTTATTCCTCATAGTTAAATCCGCATGGAGGTCTTGAAGATTGTTCAATGTGAAAAAATGAACTGTTCTATCATTGAAAACCTGAAAAGTATTAGCTAGTTTTGTGACAGTGATTTTGTAGATAATTGTTCAATGTTGAAACATTTTAGTGAATCGATTCAATTGATAGTTGACTGTTTTCCACAAAATATTTCTAAAATATAACAAAAATATTTTCCATATAGTTCTTTCTGTCTTTTCCTTTCACTATGACAAACGAAATACAACAATTACAGCTTTCTTAAACCATATAGATTTATTTTATAATTGACACTTTATATATCTCTCTATATATATGCTATATACATCCATCTTGGCAACAGTAAATAGAATGACAAATTACTTTAGTTTGTAATTTTGAAGGCCTTAAAAGACTTTAAGACAGAAATAGAAATCACTAGATGACAGATAAATAAGAAGAAGAAAATATCATGAAAAAACCAAGCTTAGCTACTGTTTATGTGATTGAGATTGATTTCTTAGATTCTATTCTTTCTTCACTTTCTGCTTGTCTTTATGAATCTTATAAATCTTGACAAATTCATCAGAACTGAATATTTTAAAATATACAATACATGCATGTATGAATTCACTCGAAAATTGTTCACACCTTTATTTATTTAACAAATGGTAGTTATCTATCTCCAATCATATACACTCAGCACTATTCTACATACACTGCATTTGTAAAATGTCCTTTTTTAAAAAAAGCAGGACATATATCAGGAAAGAGCCTCACACATGGAATTATTTTGAAGAGATCATTAATCATTATGTTACTGACATCACTTCACTGTCGTTGGGTTCCTCTTTCTGTCTTAGTAACATTCATTTCTGCCTAGTTTTTTTTTCATTCACATTGACTCCCATTCTCTGTTGTTGTTTTTTTTTCTTAAATAGTACACATACAAACACGTGTATAGGCTCCTTTAAAAATTATTTCTCTAGTCACTTACAATTCCCATGAAATTTACTGCTTCTTTTTTTTTTTCTTTTCTGCCATTGTCTAATAGTTGTGATATGATCACAACTGTTCAAATAATTCAGATTTTGACAATTTGTTTTGATTTCTGTAAAATTTATTTCTCTTATTAGGAAAGTGTTTGTTGTGTATTCGATGATCATTAACAGGCCCATTTGAATACACATGTGCATAGATACTTCAATTGAAGATGATTTATTATAATAACTAAACATCATCATCAACATCAACATCATCATAATCTTATCACTGTTGTCATGGTTATCATAATTAGGCATAGAATACACTCATCAATTACAAGCCTGTAACTATCTAGATGTGTTATTGAGGTGAGAAAATTCTATTGCATAAATGTGAATATTTTTTTTATGATAGACATTCACAAATCATATACAGTGGCATTTTAAGACAATACAAATATTGTGTCAAAGATCAGATTGACTAAATTAGTTTATTTTCTCTGTTACAGTTAAATAAAATGAAGTCAAAAATTTCTCATTTTCTTTTCGAATGCATTCAACTATTCAATAAGTTTGCTTTTTTTGTGTTTAGTTTATGTGTTGATATATTTTGTAAATATAAAATCAAACTGAATAATTAAGAGGATGTTGATTATGATTGTGAAAAGTAAAAAGGATACAAAAAACACTGAAAGAGACTCTTATTGGTTAACTTTGTGACTTGTAGTTTTTGATTCTTGTAGAATTATCTTTTATCAATAAAAAACAACCACGTCAAAACAATATTGGTAGGATGTTTTTTTACTAAAAAGAATATGCATTACGGGGTTGTTGTGAAGATTGTTAAGTTACACATTTTTGAAACCATGAATCGATCAATGCTAGACCACGATTAGAAACCTGGAAGCACTGGACAGCCGTTTCGTCCTGGTATGGGACTCCTCAGCATGGTGGTCTAACATTGATCTATTCAATGGTTTCCAATAAAAAGAATATATTCGAATAGCTGGTATATTATCATTTAGTCAACTGGTGTTTTGTCTTTTGAAAACTAATCCGTTGAGATGAGAAGATCAGTCTTGTGATAAAATGATTTGTTGCGAAACTTTGATCTTTTTAGTATTTTACCAGCTCACTGGACTTTTATAACACATACATAGATACACTGTTGAATTGATACGTTAACTAGAAGTTTTTTTATTCTGTGTTACACATGAAGCTGGATAATATCAATAATTATGAATATTGTCACCTTACTCAGTGATCATTCAATCAAGATTCATACTTGCTTATTAAAAAGAATCATTCGATGTGTTATAAATAGGAATGTCCACTACTAGCCAGGTTTGCTAAGATTGAACTGAGTATTATTTCGACTGATCCTTCTTAAACCATGCTGGGAGATGTTCACTCATTCGTTGGTTAAGTTGCCTGTTAGTACGCCAAATATAGCTATCTGGTCAGTCAGTTCCAAAGTAGAACTTCGTACGTATGTACATAAGTTCATGTTGCCACACCACATTAGCACAGAGACGCAAATGTCAAGTCAAATCCCATAGTGATAGAGATAGTAGAGATAATAATGGTAATGAAGAAGACTAGGGTTTGAAGATATTATTCAAGAAGTATAATTCAGTGAGATAAGGTTAGAAAGACAAAGGTGGAGGTGCTGACGATTCCAGAAGATTAAGATTTGAGAGAGCTCAAAGAATGGATGCACTTGCGCCATTGCAAACGATTTTGAGCCATGTCGTCCAAGGTCTCTAACCGTTGGTGACTTTCGTCTCGCGGACTCCAACCAGGTAGCCTACATCTACCAACATGACTCAGTCCACTTGTCAGTGACTTCATGGATTTCTGCCATGTTTTGGTCTGGCCGCCCCTAACTTTCTTCCAACCTACTTCTACACCACAAAACATAGCTCAGATATAGCTATCTCCATAGGAGCAGTTGAATTTGTAAATGCACATAGAGGAGGCCAACTCAGGTAACTTATCCTTCGTTTGGGTAGACATCGCTGGTCGACTTGAGAAGGTCAACGCAAGTTTGGCTGCATTGAATGTTCTACTAATTGATCTCATTAATCTGTCCTGCAGAGTATCGCAGGCCACATCTCCGTTGAATTATAGTTTAATAAAGAAATGCTTCTTTCGGATGGTCGAAATTGCTGACTCCTTTTTTACATCAACCATATACTTCCTTATGAATGCGCATTCGATTTTAACACACCTGGTTGATAGTGGTCATAGTGTAGATAAGTCTAGATTTTTACGGGTGATCAGTCGTATACCTCAATCATTTCCCAACAGAGTTCGATCGCGTCTCCTACACATATAGCAGAAGCCATCGGGATTCGTACATTCAACCCCGAATAGGAATGTGACAGAAATGTATGAGCTTTTTTGTTAGGGATTGATTCAATCTCTCAAACTAGTAAATGATAGATATTATTCCCACATCCATATTTAATATTAGTTGCAGAGTATAATTTCACAATGATCTAATGATCATTGTCATCTTAAATCTATTCTTACTAACAATTAATATTAGTCACTTGATTGAATGAGCACACACAAACATGACTGTACAAACAGTAACAACAAAAATAAATCAAAATTTATTTAAATATTAAACTGAAGTTAAATATACAAGCTTCAGTTGATCTTTTCCTTTTTTTAAAGTCAACTATCTTTAAACTGAACAGTTTAGTATGTAGACAGAATAGAAATGTATATATTCTTTGTATTAAAATAAAAAGTCGTCAAATTGATAACAAGAATAATAGAGGCCAGATTAAGAAGATAATCATCAAAAAATATGTATTTGTCAATTAGGGAAACTCTTTAACAGGGGAAATAAATTAAAATCGGGGCAAGGTGAGAAAAAATTGGTTTTTTTAAAATTCGTCAAGTTGTACCATTGTTGTAACATGGTGAATACTGCTGCTTGTTAAATATTATTCTTGATTTGTACTTATTCAAAGCTTAGTGTGTAATTAGTCAGTAAATAAGTGAATGCCTACATTTCTGTCATGCCACTTATAGAATCTAACATTATTTTGTTAGTTTCAGTGTATAAACGTGTTTGTATCTAAGTGTGTGTGTGTGTGTGTTAGTGAATATCATTTTGTTTGGGTGTTTATTTCGATTGTGATCCACTTTTTCTCTCTGTCTAAAAATAAAAAACATTAAATTTGAATGCAGGAATTTTCAGGAATGATATTTGATTAATTCTGATACCGCGTTGGTTGGTACCTCTAATGTTGTTGTGATCGCTGTGGTGGTCGTTTTTGATGATGCTGAGAAAACAGGAGAAAGTGATTGATGATGATGTTGTTGTTGTTGTTGATAATGATGATGATAATGAGGATCGTAGCCATTCGGAAATTTACAATTTGAAATATTCATTTTATTATCAGTCAAATTATTAATTGAAATCATTAAATTCTCATCGATTTTATTGGACTGATGCGTCGTTCGATGTAATGCCAAAGTACGAGATTGACAAAATCCTTTACCGCATATTTCACATAAAAATGGTTTCTTTGAACTATGCGTAAATCTGTGATTATGAATAAGAAATTAATTGAAAGAAGAAATATAATATAACATATAAACAAATGAAATGAATAGTTAACAATGCTAACCATTTCTTGAATCATTTTGCTGCCTTCTTGATGAAATCAAAAAAATACTAGTTCGACTAATTAATCAGTATTTTCAGCATTCAACTTTGGCTTCTAGAAAGGCGATAACGCTGATTATACAAGAATACAAATATTGAATAAGATGGAAAATATCGATCAAAGAAACTGTATGAATTATCAATAATTATCATACAGATATACTCTTATTGATGATCAAAAGTCTTAAAATTTTCGGGTTAAATTAATCTATTCAGAATACGCTCAGTTCAAAAAGAAATCAAATTTAACTTCTACACATTGGAATCATCAATCAATCATTGTTAGACCTGGAAGCACTGGACAGCCATTTCGTCCTGGTATGGGACTGATCGGTAGTGCGCATTCCACGACTCTTGCACCTCGCAGGACTCCAACCCGGGATCTTCGGCCTTGCGCGTGAACACATTTGAAATCAATCAATCATTGTTAGACCACGATTAGAAACCTGTAAGCACTGGACGTTCTTTTCGTTCTGGTGTGAGACTCATCATCTTGCAATGATTGATTGATTGATTGATGATTTCAGTGTATAAAAACACTAATATCCATAACTCTAATTGAAAAAAAATGTAACTTCATTCATTATCTTATTTATGATGATATAAATCATTTTTAAAAATGAAATTCAAATATAACATCATAGAATTTATCATTTACATATATTAAGCAGAGATAAACACCGATGAACAATGATCACATGTGTATTTTATTGAATTACCAACATTTTTACAAGATAATTATAGATAAGTAAATTACAGAAAAGTACTCTCTGACGTGGATAAAATAGATTTTTAATGTTTTCTAGCTGTAGCCAATTTTTTCTCCAGCTGATTATATCAGATTTAGATGAAAGTTACATTAAACTAACACAAAATATTGCTGCATCGAACTTAGAATTTTCAAGTTATATTCAAATCACAGAGCAATTTAAAAATAAATTCATCATACAACATCAACCCTATGTCAATAGCTAAATTTCTTATTGATATGAATAATACACTGTTTTATAAACTTTCACGATCATACCAAACAATATGATCACTATGATAGTTTCACTAAAATCATGAAGAGATCACTATTAAAAAAAGAACTTGAAGACACTGCTGAAAAGTTTTGTACTAAGATGAAACGGCCATTGAGTACATCCAAGTTTCCGACAGTGGTCTAATTTAGATTTTAATGAATTTCAACAATCTCCATGAACCTATTATTGACAACCAATTCAATATTGAATTATTTGACTAGGAACACAAAATATACAAAAAATATTCCATATGAGTAACAAGCATTTATCATGATTTAGGCATTCGCGCACAATACCGAAAGTCCTGGGTACGAATCCTGCGGGATGCAGGATTCGTGGATGCGCACTGCCGATGAGTCCCATACCAGGACGAAACGGCCGTCCAGTGCTTCAAGGTTTCTCATGGTGGTCTAACATTGATCGATTCATGGTTTGAAAAATGTGTAACTTAACAGTCTTCACAACCCCGTAATTAAAAATATAAAACTGATAAATAATTTAATTTACAATGATAAAATTATTCATAATTAGATTGGCAACCATAAAACATTTAGCTAACTTACCTGTGATCTCTTAAATGATCCTGTCTACGAAATGCTTTACCGCAAACATCACAAGGAAATGGTCTTTCATTTGTATGTGTACGTTCATGAATTAATAGATTATACGATTTAGTAAATTGACGTAAACAGAATCGACAAATATATTGTTTACGTACTCTACAATTAGAATAAAAACAATATAAATTATTAAATAGAAAATTATTTATTTACTATTCTAATAAGATCGTCTTTTTTTATTATTAAGTAAAGAAAAACAGTTGATACTCCTGAGATTTATTCAATATATGTTGAAATTGTAAGCTGTTTAAAAATTCCATTTTGATACTTACTGATCTTTGTTTTGAAGAAAACTACTGCTTAATTCACACAGAACTAATCTCCTTGACAATCTGTCGAATAGTCCACACGCATATATCTCAGTCATACAATAAATAATTCTATGCATCTACCTTAAACAATCTAACTAACTAATTTTCCGGAGACTGAAAATAGTTTACGAATATATATATATATATATATATATATATATATATATATATATATATATATTCCAAATAATTACCTTCGACGTGATCCATTATGATTTGATTTATCCTCTTTCGAATTAATTAATCGACCATAATTTACACGTAATCTAGGCAAGTGAAATAATCGATAAAGAAAAAAAATTTTTTTAGAAAAACGGGCAAAAAATCAACATTATTGATTGATAATCATATTTTAACAAAAAGAATATGACTGGAATAATATGAATGACATAAATGTCATTATTGAAATTCATTGTAAGCAAATAAGTTTACATCAGTCAGATCAAGATGATAGCTAGTACAGGTAGATTGTATAGTTTAGAGTAAAGTTAAGAAGCTGCTCGTGGTATTTACTTGTTCACACTATAAAACTGACTAAACAATCTTCATAATCTATTTATTTTATACACATAACGAAATCACCGGACTCTAATGAACAAAAGCTCAATTTCATCCTGTAATAAATATCGTCAGATGAAAAAATTAATATGAAATGAGCAATCTAAACATGTAACACCTTCATATTACCAGTCCCTATTATTCCATGGAATAGAATTATACTATCAATATTATCGAGTAATGTATCTGACTGTTATATTATGAAACTATTAATTGTTAAGTTGACTTTGAAAATAAATTTTTTTTATGTAAAAATCATATCATAGTCATGTGTACACAAATATACCTTAATGGCTTAATTTTCATAATATTGGGTCAGGAGTTCAACTGTCTACGTCGTCTTAAACTCTTATCAACTGAAGTAGTCAATTTGATATCTTCTCAAATAATCAAATATTTAAGTTTATTAAGCTAACCGCTTCTTAAAAATATGTGATTATCAATCAATTTTAGAATTGTATTCAATCAGAAAAAAAATACCGACGCGTTCAATTTTTTGAAATGTTTATAGAATTTGAAATATCAATGATTTAACACGTTCGGTAAAAATGAGAAAGAATCTATTCCCCTCAAAAAAAATTATCACAATAGATTGTGTTGTATGTGATTATCTAGTGTTACCATGATGACATCACACTCAGAAGCCAATATATTTTCATGTATCTTAGTTTTGCAGCATCAGTCACCAATCTAGAATACACAAACCAAGTAAACATACAAACACAAATAACTAAAGTTTGCAAGTTGTAAGTTCAGTGTCACAGTAACACATATTTTACTTGATACAAACTCACATTACAGAAATATTTGTATGAGAAAATTAACAGACCAAAAAGACCAAATATAGCTTGTTTAAATCTAATCGAACCCATGTTAATTATTAAATGAAATCAAACTAACCATCTCATAAACAACTATCTCTTTGTGTTTTGTTGTAAGTATAATTAAAATTTTAATTTTTAAACGTGTCTTTAAAATGAATTTATTTTCAATATATGATAGTTGATATTTCTAAGTTACAAATTGCGTATTCCGAGTAAAATTTACCTTTAAAAAAAACTATTGAATTGTCGACCTTTTTGTAGTTCATAATCTTCCTATATATATTTATATGCATCTGTACAAACAGACGTCATGGACATACAGACATATGTGCATGCACACACACAGACACACACACACGCAGATAAGTTATACGTGGTGTCAGTACTGGTTTTGATATTCGCTAGTCAATTATGCGGTTAATTAGAACGTCAGTTGATTGATAAAATCGAAGCAGCTTAGTTACATATATGATTATTATTATTATTTTTAAAACAAACGATATTCAATTTGTTTTGTTTTTTTAAATCATAATTTTTTTTTCGAAAAATATTTCAATCCAATTTCTTGATCAGTAGGTGAAACTTTTAATGATGATAAATATTATGAGATGGTCAGTCAGTAAGTCAATCGGTTTAGTGTGTAGAATTTACAATAAAAAATAACTGTTAGTTTTTGTAAAAAAAATATAATAAAACAAACGAAACAAGCACAAAAACTTGATGTACATACATTGTACAGATAGAATTTAGGTTAATTTAAGATTTATTTTAATTTTTTTTAAAAAATTGTTACATAGTAGTTCAAAAAAATCTTTTCTTAACAAACTAACAACCCTTCTGTTACAGAATATAGATAAACTGTACGTATGTGTATTTTGGTGTACATGAACATACATAAATCTGAAATACTTCTAATCCCTCGATAATTCATATAGACAGTTATGTACTAACACAAGTGTATCAATGTAAATAAATATAGATGGATATAACTACTATCAGTGTGTATACGCACCTGCATACAATAACGTACATACGCACATAAACAAGAGAGATTATGGATGCTTGCATTATTAGGTGAAGCACGTAATACTTAATTAAAATCAATAATATCAATAATCTCTATGATGAAACAATATAACAATTTAATTAAAATAAAAATGTGATTGAATTAACATCAGTAATTATTGTTATTATTATTGGTGTTTGTTATCATTTTTACTGATAGTAGTATTAGTAATAGTATGTTATTGTTATTTACATAGTGTGTTACTGAACAAATGAACTATTGTTTTTTTTTCAAAGAATAGTAAATATGATTTGAATGTCACTACTCGGTAGTACCGATCAATTTCATGAAGATAGTGGTAGTTAGTATCAAACTGTTTTTCAAAAAAAACAAACATTGCAATGTAGATTGTTTAAAATTAAAGAATATTATTTTTATACATCGTCACTGTTTGCATCTATCAACTGTTTACTTAGTAAGACATTTTCTACTTGAACAAATTTTGATCAGAGAAATGTATGTACTAGTCAATACTCACTTTTACTACTGACCTTCATTTAAGCAACTGGTCTTATACAGAAAGTACAACAGAAAATTAATTACATAAATATTTACTTAGTTACTAAATCATATTCAACGATTTTTTTAGTAAAATATTTGTTTATATTACGCCGAGAAATAGAGAAAGATATGTGAAGAATCAATAAAAATTGGATAGAACTAGAAGGAGAAGCTTGGGATAAAATAAGTGACAGGCTTTAGTAAGTAAGTGAGTAAATAAGTAATATTATTTTTAATACATTAATACTTGAAAGTAATGGGTTCTATTCGTAGTTGCGTGAAGATTCTAACACCAGGATGGAACAGCTCTTGGTTACTGCTTGATTTCAATGATACTCTGAATGAGGTTAGACTGTGATGAGTAATATATACAAATTAAACCAACCACAATATGACCACTTCAAATAAATTAGAATCGGACATTGACAAACATCCAGTAATAGATTCCAGTCTCTAATTTAATTTGATAAACAGTGTTTCAAATGTGAATAAGTTTAAAGTAATATTCAGTGAATATTGAACAAATTAAAAGAGTGTCAGCAGACTTGGAAGACTTTCTTTAAAGTTGCACAGAAACTATTACCTACAGTTTCTTTTGGTTGCTTATTTTCTTAAAAATCTAATTTCAAGTCTCTTACTAATCGAATGTACTACCTCCGGTAGACTTATAGAGAATTCTGTTGAAGTTATTCTAATAACAAGATAACTAAAAATGTTATAACAAGCAACGGATAAATCAGTCGAATTGGAAATGACATAATAAGTTGATTTTTCCCAATCATTTTTAACATGTAATCACATCTGGAGAGGGTTTTTAAACGAGTTAGTCTATTAATTATATTTACTGATGGCAGATACTTAATCGTACGATAAGGTAAATCTGTGTTCATATGGCATGTTACGATCTAAGTGTTGGTCATTACTACTCAATTTAACATGCACAATTCTGACTACAAGTTAATCCTTTAAAAAGTAATGCATTCATAAGTCATTTTGATTTATTTGGGAAGTCAAACACATCAATATCATCAGTCTTTGGGTGTTATTACACATCGTCGGATTTGTGAGCTTAGTATCAAGTACACATCAATTAGGCATTCCACAGATATGACAGTAACAGACAAAGGAATGCTACACATAAACTGATCAAGGACAAAATGATATAACAGTTAAATTTTGGAGAGATTTTCTTGTAACGGACTTAATAGTTTATATTTTAGATAAGATAAATCTACAGTTTGATATTTCAAGCTTAATAGTAAAACAAAAATGATTGATCAAAAGAAATAATAATGATTTAATATTTTACGTACCTTGAATTTGCAGTTTTTAAATGTACTTCAACTAGGTGATTATCTTTATTCTCACTGAACTGTTTTCTTTCCATTGATTTCATTGAATGTGTATCTTTCCTAGTCACTTGTCGATTGTTGTTATGATTATGATTATGATTATTATTACTATCAAAAGTACGATTATTATTATTATTATCAACAAAATGACTTTTGAATTGTTTTTCCTGTGGAAATTCCTTTTGATATATTGATGATGACTTCGTTAAGTGTATATCATTCACTTCATAATCAACGCATGATTGAGCTAAATGTTTAAAGTCGAAATGTTTATCTACAGAAAATAAATAAATAAAATAATGATTGACACTTTTGATATTGCAGATACTGAATCGTCAATTGAAAACTAACAAATTTATACGTCTATTTACTCATTATTGAGCTACTACTTTTTCCTACATCCAATGTAAATGAATTTTGAACTTAAGATCTAATTTTTAAAAGGGATTTATTTTTAGTCACTAATTCATCAATCTGTGAAACGGTGTTAACAGTCAAAAACCATTAGAAATGAAATCAAGTACTGACTTGATTCAGATTTGTAGTTCAGAAGACAATACTTACTTGAAAATCATTTCAAGTAAGTAAATGTGAAATAGCTATTTTCCTCCTGTATGCATATTGTGGTGCGTGCTACTTATAAGTAGTATATGACGCGAGTAAAAATGTAATGTCTAGCAGCAGAAGATGGGGGAAGATCAAGAAAGGAAGAGCGGGAACACAATGGGATTTGTATGAAACGCATGAACAGTGAAATGTCAGACAATGGATTGATGTTTGCAACAGGAATCAGTCCAGTTCCATATGATGGATTGATATTTTGCAAATTAACGATTTACGATATGGTTTTTCTATTTTGCCAATTAACTCTGCAATTCGGTTGCCCTCACCTGTGTTCTCTATCACTACAATATTAAATTTGACAATCAAGTACATCTAGTCGATGAGTACCAGATTAGAAGAAACAAATACTTTTTTGTTGCTCACTCTTTGTCACTACCCAGTTAGTTTAAAACTTGTCACCAATAAATATACATAATTTAAGCAAATGAACCGAAATAGACAATATAAAAATGCAAGTAATTAAATTACTTAATTAAAATTCATTTGTACATTTTCCGCTTACATCAATCATTATTCATTGTTTTTATGTCATTAACAATTTAAACTAATTGTATATATGCATCTGTTATAAGCAAATGTTAAATTCTATTAAGATTATTTGTCAATCGAAATCGTTCACTGGAATGAATATCTTCGACATTGTAAAAAATTTTTTTAAAAACTTCATATTTATAAACAGACTTCTAAAAAGTTTACATTTTATTATATTCCTAGAACTGAATTTCAATTTTTGTAAAATATGCCTAAATCTTGAATTATATATTTGTTATATCTGTTGAGATTTTTCAATGAATATCACTAATTCTTAAAGAATTTTTTGTTTAATTGTTACTAAGCTATCGTGTATTGATCATTCTATGGGATTGTAGAGATTGTTGAGTTCAATTGAAGTCATGAATGGATCAATATTAGACTAAATAACACTTCTTGTACTAATTTGTAAGGGTTGAGTTTCAATTCATTTCGAATTGAATATGTATGAACAGCTCCACCATCTCCTAACTTAGTTTCTATAGCTTAATGTTACATATCGTTTACTCACAAAAAATGTAGCTTAACAGTGAATTAACAGAATTAAATTTCATTCATTATCGTATGGAATTATTTTTCCTTATCTTATATCTTATTAGTTTACCTTTGTGTATTCTTGAATTCTCCCGATGAGTTCGATAACGTCGTTTACCGGTGACCACATTTTTATTATTTTGTTGAATATGATGCAATTTCTTGGTATTTTGTGAATTCATTGAACATTGAGCATTTTTATTTGAGTGTGTCATGTCTAATTTTTGTAAATTACACGTAAATCTGTTAAATAATTCATTGAATTGACAATTTAATAAATGATTATTTTCAAGATTACCATCAGCACAGTCATCAGTATTTCTATGAATTGAAGTTATTGATTTATTGTTAATTGTTAAATTATTAATAATTACTGGTAAATTCGGTGCTGAAATTGTTGTTGGTGTTACAGTGCTCTCTGTTGATAAATTTGAATTGATCTTTTCATTGGAATATTGACTGAATAGTTTTTTATAATTGAACAACATTTTCTGTGTACACTCATTATATGTACAATCATAATTGTGATTCAGTGTTGTATTAACACAATTACTATTATTTATATTAGTTGAAATAGGGAATTTATGATTTAATTTGCGTAAATTATCTTCTTGCTTGTCGTTTGTTATTACTGGGAACTCTTTTGGCATTGTAAAGTTATTATGATGATGATTATTAAGATGAGTATTAAAAGTGTCAGTGATATTCTTATTTTTCCAATAATTATAATTTACAAAATAATAATAATAATAAAATAAAATATTTTGATACATTTTTTCATTGAAAGCATCTGTTAATTTTGTATACTGGTCTGGTTGATATTGATTTTTACTTCTTGTAATTTCATCTGCCTGTTCTTTAATTATTGTTGATTGAATATGATCAATGGGAGGATCATTTTCGTGCATGTTGGTTAATATTTTTTGAATGGAATTTGATATATTTGCATGATTTTTGTTATTAATGAGAGATGAATTTGTCAAGTTAGTTGAAGTTCTCATTGATGGTGTTGTTGTGAAGTAAGATGATGATGATGATGATGATGATGAGGAGGAGGAGGAGGAAGCGTTGGAGACACATGGACAAGAACACGGAGTAAACATAGAAAACGCTGACTGTTTTAATGGTGAGGAATAGGTGAAAATATGAGGCTGAGTGTTTGATGAATGATTAGTTTTTATATCTGATAACTGTGTCATACTATTGGGAGATGCTGTTGATGAGGAGGAACATGAAGATAATGTGGCGGAAGGTATCCAGTTGTATGTGCAACTCATGTTAGACGTTGTATTAGTATTCGAATTCGTAGCAGTAGTAGTAGTAGTAGTACTAGTAGTGGTAGTTGATGTTGACATATTTGTAGGATTAGTACTAATAGATGTACTTTTAAACCATTCACATAATAACATTAAATATTGTTGTAACTGTAAACAGAAATTTTCATAAGTTGATTGATTTGATTGGCTGTGACTGAAATGATTTTCTGTGCAGCGTTGATGAAAATTCTTGATTAATTCTTTGGATATATCTAAAAAAGTTGTTTTAAATATATGCAGAAGAAAATGATAAAAGATCATGAGAAATGTAAATCTTTACCAAGATAAATAGAAGAGGTAAACATTAAAAAAGGGAGACAATTATAATTACTATTCCGTAATAAAGGAAGCATAACATCTTTCAACATAAGAAACTTTATCCGAGGTACATTTTTCTTTGACCTGGATAGTTTATATAAATGTTTTCCTGCAAAAATCGTGGTTCTCGAAGACGTTCTTCCACTTTTGAACATTAAGAAACATGTTACACTAAAACGATTTGACAGAGAATATTTTTACTCAAGATAGATATTTCAAAAGTTTTTGTATGTCCCCAGCCATATAGTGGTTAAGTTTTCATTGTCTCTCTAGGCATTATCAGAACATAATTTAAAAAGGTGAAACCATTCAATTCAGTGAACACATCTCCAAAACATTCATTCATCTTCAAGAAATAAGCCACAGTGAATCAAAAGGTTACCGTTCAAATTTCTTGTATTCAGTCTACGTATTCATAATTTATTATCGCTCTCACCGATTTATATTAATTAGCAATAGACAGAATTGAGTAGTATTTGATTATTCAGTAGTATTATTTATCCTTTAACTATCGATAGCATAGATTATTGTGTAAATATTGACAAGTAAATCCAACTACCAATTTAATTATATTAGATACATTTCACGAAACTTTTTAGAAATGCAAATCAGTAAAAATTCAATTTTTTTTCAAAAAATGAAATATAATTATTCTATCTAAATGTCTATTGATAATCCAAATCAATTTTGAAATTTATCCAACAGATTTTAGCATTTAGTATCCAAATCTACTTGTAACTATCATGTTATGAAATTCAAGAAATGAATATTACCTTAAAAGATAAGGGATTATTTGGTCTTAAAATTTTTTTATGTATCAGTAAACCATGATAACCACGTACATAAGGTCGATGTTGGAGGATTGAGCCCAAGCTACAAATAAAAACGCCTAGAATCAGGTTTCGTACATATCGGCACTCATCAACAGGTTGTATTTTTAGACTGAAAAGCTCTAATCCTCCTCGTACTGTTTGAATACAGTAGTCAGCTGTTTCCAACCAAATAACATTCAATAAGTTGTTGAAGTAAACCAGTCTAATGACCATATCATAATTTGATCTTACTCTAATGAATAACTGTTACACTGTAGTATATGTCTTTCAGAAATAGTTACGATCATGAACTAATATTCACCAAACAAATCGTAAAGCATTGTTTTAAGAGTCTACAAATTGAAATCTATCAGAGATCGAACTTGAGTCTGTTAATTTGAAACAGCCCATCATATTTTCCATTTGAATCATTTCATCATAAATTTCTCCACTGTCATCATTAACATACTTTTATTATGCGTAAAGAAATTTTCACCGTCGTTACTGTAGTAAAAAATTATGGCAACGAAATAGAATTCATTCAATCTTATTTTTCTCTTTAACCTCATTACTTTTCGAAATCTATTTAACTTTTAATAATTATTATTGTCCAACATTTTATTCTGTCACAATATGGCATATTTTATGCGCTGAAAAAAAATTCTCCCAAATCTTAACGAAACAAATTTTACCTCAATTCACTTGGTTATGTTCAAGGCACATTTACCAATCCATAAATATGTCAAGTACACAACAGTAGATTCAAAGAAGGAAAGTTAAAGTTAACACTTTTTTTATCAGTTCAATCAAGCATCTTCTGAAAAATCATTTCTTCACGCAGAATATCCACGTGTTTGTTTGTTTGTTTGTCTAGCTACATTATAAAATCGTTTTTAATATCTAAGTGAAATTAAATCTCTATGACAAAACTTTTTTTTTATAAAAAGACAATCATTTTTGAAATTATAGAAATCAAATAATCATTGACTGAAGTTAGTGTTACTAAAACATCAGTATTATCTTTTCAAGGTATTAAAACTTAAGTGGGTTGATTGCAAAGAAATCAATCAAAAACTAGTTGTCATATATATATCTATGTATGTGTATGTATGTCACAGTCGAATGTAATGACGATATCTAGTTGCTATGATACCTAAGTCAAACAAATAATGACTGCACTAACAAGTAACAACACATGAATGATGAATTTCTTGATTAAACTTAATGATTATGTGCTTATAGATACAAACATACAATAAACCTAATTCATCATGATAATGAGGAAAAATTATTTATGACAAGAACGGTATTAATAATTAAATAAACAATTTAAAAGATCTAATACAAAATTAATCACGTGAACAACGAATCACTTTTGAATTGAAGCGAAATCTTACTCTGTTAACTTCTAGCTTTGATTATCAGATGGTGTTAATCTTATGCTGCTATTATTATTACTTTCTCTCAATACTGAATGTAAATGTGTAATGAGTTATCATTACATAAGGCTTTTTAGAAGAAAGTTTGCTAAAACTGAACATTCTTATCTAGACCTTTTATCACGTAATAAAAAATCTAGGAGATGGCGATTGTAGCAGCAGCATCTGTAACAGTAGGTCTCAACATACACGAGGGAAAATGCAAGATGCTTTAATACAACACAACGTTAACCAACCAAATAAAACTAGACGAAGAAGTTTTGGAATATGTGGAAACCTTTATATACCTAGTCAGAATAACTGATAATCGCGGTGGATCTGATGCCGATGTAAAGACATAGATCGGTAAAGCAAGGGCAGTATATCTACCATTGAAGAACATCTGGAACTCAAAACAACAATCAACCAACACCATACTCAGAATTTTCAGTACGGACTTTAAAACAGTTCCATTGTATGGAAAGAAAACTTGAAGAACTGCGAAAGACATCATCAGAAAGATACAGGGGTCTATTAACAGTTGTCTACACAAGATACTGTGAAGCTGTTGGCCAGACACCATCAACAACAACCTATTGTAGGAGAGAACAAACCAGATGCCAGCGGAGGAAGAAGCGCTGGAAGTGGATTGGACACACAATGAGCAAAGCACCTAACTGCATCATGAGACAAGCTCTAATTTGAAATCCTCAGGGCCAAAGAAGAAAAGTAAGACCAAAGAACATATTGCGCCAATAAACGGAAGCAGACATGAAAAGAATGAAGAGCAATTGTCTAGACCCAGGAAGAAGTAAGTTGGAAAGGCTTGTCCGCAGCCTATGCTCCACGAGGGGTAACAGGAGTTAGAATTCTTAAATCTTTTTTAGTTAATCTTATAGCCTCTAATTTGCTTCGAGATGAGAATGTATTAAGATAGTAATATTCATTTATTTAATAACAACAGTGATCATTACTAATTCTAGTATGAATATCAAATTAAATGAATCTAGTTTTTTTGAAGAAATTCAGAAATAATTAAGTGGCCTTGACTGACATATAATATGATACAAGTTGTATTAGTTCTTCTAAAGCTGTAGATATACCCCACTAACGAAGCAACTGATTTTATCAGAAGGCCACAACTTAAATAAGAATTTCTCCACAAGTTCAGTAGCCATAAATCAAAATTAATAATTATAGAAAATGATCAAGCTTTAGGTAAATACATTTACCAAAATTATAACACACAGTTTAAAGATTTTTTATAAAATAGGGTAAAACTGTTCATGTTTTAACTATGTGTAAACAGTGTTTAGTCAAATACATTTATATGCCACATGAAATTGTGAGATTGATAATCAGAATATGGATAAAATTAAATGAAAAAAAACGATGATATAATTAAACCAGAGTAAATATCTGTTAGCAGTTTACGTAATTTATATATTGATATGACTGACTTAAGCAATAGTGAAGTGGAGTGAGCGCTAATTACATTCTTCATATATTGACAACATTAAGATATGACTTAACTTTATAGGCTTGAAGTTGATCAACGTATGGTTAAGAGTTAAATATATTCTAATCAGAATAGCTATTACTTCTGACGTTTGCTAAAATTTAACAGACATTTACCAGTAGCATAAATTGCTGAAAATAACTGACTTATGCTGAGTATGATAACGATTAAGCATTTTCGTTCAACAGTTTTTCTAATATTTTGAAATCTGTTTATACTTTAGTTTTATATAATTAGCTCAGATTTTATTGGTTATTGTTATCTTGTCATATAATTCAAATCGGTTTAGAAAGTCAATCGTATAACCTTATTCATAACTTATAATTTTCTTATAACAATAATAAGTAGATTTATGAGTATTATTAGTGGATGAGAAACTTTCTGTATTTGATCATCGTTGCCCTTAGAGGATTGCTGACGTTTAGTGGCGACATCATGATAGTAACACAGGTGTTTGGCAACGTGTGCTCGGCGGGTAAAGTGATGATAATTCAGCTGATCTCACCATCTCGAAACACCGTCTCCCGTGGCTTGAACGTGTACTACTAATGTCATTCTAGAGAATTCCAGATCGTAAAAGCAGAGGTGGTCAATCTATGACATAGAGTCTTAGTGTGAAAGAAAATTAGCCCCAAATATCCCGATATGCCTGAGAGTGAAAAAAGTCCTCTCACCCTTTCGAAATGCTCTCATATGGCTATACGTATGAAGCCATTGCCAGAGGAGTTCTGCTCATTGCCTTCTCACGATAAAGGTGTTGTTTACGAGATTGAGAAGACGAAAACTGAATACTCGGCGCTTCATTCAGGTTTGATGGTAACGGAAAATCCACCTAGGGAAGATGAAAGACTTAAATTCCAAACCAGTGGTACACATGGACTACATGCTACATGCTACGTGATGAGCACCAAACTGAGGAAAGACAACTCTCTTCAATGAATATTGCTTTTCAACATCTTACTAGTTTATATCAATTAATAGTGATGCGAATTACCACCAAAAGGTAAATTCGATCAACTTAATGATAATACCATTTTTGTAATTTTTTTTAAAAAATAAAAGTAAAATAAAACAGAAACTGAAGAGAGCTCACTTTTATTTGATGAATTTTATATTTCATTTTAATCAAATGCAGTACATTTCATCGATCAGTTTTTCCAGTGAGAAAATTTACATTTTTTTAAAACAACATTACTTATCATATATAGTGAGTTCTATTTAACAGGTGTAAAATAAAAATAAAAAACACACTTCATAATGACACTTTATTGTTTTCATACATGTTTGTACAAATGCATGCCTACATGAATGTATTTTGGCCACAACAGTGTCACATATCATTGGAGTGAGTTCTATTCAAGTGAATAAATAAACAAATATATATATATATATATATATATATATATATATATATATACTTGAGTACCTAATCAATGTTAATGCTTTTTCTATCGCTTTTTTGGTTGATCTCTACTCAGCTACGTATTTTGGTTAAATAGGAAAGAATAGGCGACAAATTAATTCATTTAACTGCTTATGCAATAGATATTTCAGGAAAAAAAAGTACTTATTGAGCAAAAAACTACGACTGGATATTCATAGTATTGATGAAATTACAAGATTCGAAGTTCAAGCCCCTTTTTCTACTTGCTTTACATTCGAAATGTACGAATCGTTTTGTTAAATACTCACGTATGGCTTTTTTTTTACTTAATAAACTCAAGTTTATTAAGTTATATTTGATGAATCGATAAAAATTCATCAAGAAAGCGTTAAACTCTTAGGCAAATTAATTTTAGAATATAAAATTGTAACATAACAAACATCAGTCATCATTTACTTAAATCATGAAGAATTTAATTCACAGTGAAAAGTTATACCGAAAGAACTTGTTTTTTTAGTCAACACAAATATCAACAGAAACTGATCATAATATATTTTGGGGCACAGTTTTGGAGGTTTGCGTTTTTACACATTTGAAATCATCAATCAATGATTGTTAGACCACCATTAGAAACCTGGAAGCACTGGACGGCCGTTTCGTCCTGGTACGGGACTCATCAGCAGTGCGCATCCACGATGAGTCCCATACCAGGACGAAACGGCCGTCCAGTGCTTCCAGGTTTCTAATGGTGGTCTAACAATCATTGATTGATGATTTCAGATCATAATATAGTTTTGAAAATTAAAAACGAGGAAACTCAATTTAACCTCTTAACAAGTTAATGGTAATTGGAATTATTATCTAAGTGGACAACACTGTGGGGGTTTAAAGGCATAGTTAGGTGGATCGAAATTTCATCATGAATATCAACAATCTTTCAGTAATAATTCAAATCTCACATTGGATGTCTACCATTGAAAATAATTGTTTTATTGCATTAATTAACATTTTGATTACATTGTTCAATTCAAAGTATGTCATTTGGTCTTCTCTAACAAGTCGTTATCTGAAAATTTTAATTCAAATTAATTAAACTCCATATCTATACATTGTATTCATATTCTCTGGATTAAGGCCAAACATGTAATTTAGATATTCAAACTTGGATTCAAATTCCCAGCACTAACATTTTAACCATTGAATGATTAGTTCACCTGTAACCCAAAATGACAACAAATATACATCAATAGTAGGGGATAGTTAGATTCTCACAAAACAGTATGATCATTTTAGAATGGGAATTACATTTAAGCATTCCAGTATTTCATTTAACTCAACACATTACAACAAAAAGTAGTATATTAGTTAAAGTTTAATAATCACTAAAATGCTATTCATAAAATTTCAATTTTAATCAATGAATAACATTTCATCGTATTGTTAATTATGCTAGATACATATACGAAGTTAAAAGTTATAATTTCTTGATGCAATTTATTTACCTAATTCGACAATTCATTCTACTATTTGTTTTCCAGGAATGTAGTCAATGAAGTAAGAATTTAAACTTGTATTCTGATGATTAAAAACCAAGTGAAGTGAACCATCCAGTCTGACTATCAGTCAGTGAATCACGTCGTCAATCAGCTACATTGTAGAACTTGGTATGTATATACATCATACAGAGAAATGGAATCTTCCATTCAAATCCAATGGTAGTAGAGGTAGTATCAGTATTAACGGTAATTGGAAAAATGAGGGATCGACGTTATGATTTGAGAAGAGAAAAAGCTTATGAGGAATTCAGAAGATGAGAATTAAGAGATGACAAAGTACGGATGCATCTGCGCCACTGCAAGCTCTCTTACCATCGGTTACTATCGTATTGCGGACCCTAATCGAGTAGTCTACACTTACTCATATGGTTCAGTCCAGTTGTCACTGATTTCATGGATTTGTGTCATGTTTTGTTTTAGCCACCTCCAACTTTAGTCTGTGTGAATCATAATAATAATGAGAATAAGAGCATGAATTCTAAAATTGTAGAAGTGGACAGGATGGTTTCATATTGCATAAAGCATGACTTAAATGAAAAGTCCTACTATATGCATAAATGAAAGTTTTACATGTATAATTTGACACACCGTCATTCTTACAAGTCCTATAATATCAATACTGATATCAATGACGATAATAATATTATAACATGGTGAATAATTCTTACAACTTACCCAATTGTCTATTGGTATCTTGGTTAAGTTGACTGTCCAACAGTAACTGATCATAAGTTTTATTTTGAATTGTTTGTGAGTGAAGAATGGTGTTACTAGGGCTGTGATTATTATTATTATTGTTACTATGATTGTAACTATCTACTGAATTCATCCGAAGTACATGATTGACATTATCACTCTTACAAACAGAATTGTTATTATGATCAGTAGAATTTTCAATTGTATTTTGTAAATATAAAGATAAATTTGTGTAATAGTTCCTTTGATAATCAGATAATTCACATGCATTAGTGTATGGGATATTTTGACATGAAACATTATTATTATTATTATTATTATTATTATTATTATTGCTGATATTATCAGTGATCAAGTGATTATTTTTGAAGCGTAGCATTTCTTCTAAATACTTGATAGAAATTTCTTGAAGATAATTATGATTCTCTGACATGATAGGAGTGGTCATTGTCGATAAACGTATTGATTCCCGATAGAACAAAGTTAATGTTATTGAAATATGGTTTTATTTGTAAATATTAGGCAAATAGTTTTGATCATTTATATTTATTCAAATTATTGTCATTTTGACTTATTCTTCTTCTTATTATTATTAGTTGCTTCCGACTGGTTAATCATATTGTGTTCTCTTTCAATACAGATAAAGAGATAGTAGAATTTGTGTGAATTCTTTTTTTAAACTTATAAGTGTTCTCTACTAAAATAATTTCTCTCCCCTACATATCTTAATTAGTTAACGAATCTGTTAACTTGAATTAGAACACTGATTGGTTGACATTTTCATCAGCCGTATCTGTTATGGCAGCTACTACGCTTACAATATGGGTAGGTAGAATAAAATTTCAGCCAATCAAATTAATGATAGCAATTATTTATGGAAGTGTAGGGGTAGCAAAAACACTACAAAAGGAAGGTTAACAAGTGTATCTTATAGATATATACATTTAACGCGTGCACACGTACAAGCATACAAAAGACAATGAATTCAATCAAAATACTTGAAAATATTACACATTATAACAGAAAAAGTAAGACAAACGTGTAACTTAAAACGATACATTTTGGCAATGGATTGTGTAAGAATTAAACAACAATGAAACTTTTTAACTTCATGTTTTTTTAAGAAAAGTACGACATGTGTGAGAAAGAAAATGGAATCATTTCATTAGTTTTTTTTTTAAAAAAAAATTCACATTTGTCAAAGAAAGATATGAATAGAATTGGGTAGTATAACTTTTGAAAAAAAAAACATGTTACAACAAGCAATATGTATTTTTAAAAATGCCTCCAAGAGTCATTTGTACAATCTATACATCATTTATTTAGGCTGCTCAATTAGTACAAAGTAAATGAGTAATATATGCGCACTGAAAAGTAAACCAATTAAGTAGTACTGTGTAGTTTTGTAAATCCACTGTAAATAATATTAGGTAAATAAATACAGAAAAAAAAATGTGAAAGTGTTGCATTTTTGTTTGAAATAAATTACGTCTAATTCGTTAATATAGAAAATACAGATATTCACATATAAACAAACATAGAATGAATGTACTTGTACTTACACAAACACACATAAAGAGATGCATAAAGAGATGCATTCACATTTAGTAGTAATCTGAGTCGATATCACAATTTTCGCATTGTTCAATATGTTCTTTTCATTTTTTTTTTTATTATCTATAAACATTGAATTATTGAAACAAATTTAAGTGAAAGAATAAAAACATTGCTTAAATAGTTGAAAGTAAATAAATTTAAAACTTTGAAATCAGAAAAAAAAAGATACATGTCAATAAACTTTTATATTTTCAGTGTTTATGAATGGGTGTATGTATGTGTGTGCATGTGAGTGTGTGCGCATGAACATATATTTCGGTAGAATCATCCGCTGAAAGTGATAATGACGATAGTAAATGTAATTATGGTTTTTTTTTAATGTGGGGTTTTGTCAGTGGAATTAGTGATATAAATAGTAGTTGTTATGATTACGATTAGTAATGAACAGTTTTTTTGTTCTTTCCTGTTAAAAATCTCATCTTTGTTTAACAACTAAATAAACAAATTAGTTTATATTAATTTACTGTGGTGAATAAAATCTAACAAATGCCAAAAAATGAATTTGTATGATCACGATGAAATTAGGTTACTAAGCACCAATATGGCGGTTAAACTCTTTATGCCATTTCAACATAAATTGGTGTGTATTATTTACACAATGAATAACTTGCATAGAAAAGATAATCTATAATGAACAAAACACCCACTGTACTATAAAAAATCACTTGTTCACCAAGGACAACCTCCAAGATACGACAGTTGGAATTCTAGTGAAAAGCTATGGCCAATAGGCTTCAGACAAGATGATAATCATATATGATGTATGTATGATGCGCTTCAGCCTATTGCAGAGAAGTTATGGTGGCCAATGTATTACTAGTTTCGGGACGGTCAGTATCCAACATGTTTTTACATTTCGTATGCTGCTCGTTCAGACAATTGTTACTAAATAGAGAATATCAGATGTTGAATACGTTTATTTCAGCAAACTACAAATGAACCAGCAGACCACAATCACACGGAGAAGGGCCAGCGCGCTGGCGAAACTGAGAAATGAAATCAGTATGGAAAAGACCACATATGAATACATTATGGATAACCAAGAACCCGGAGGAAAAATGAAAATGACGAAAGACTTAAAACTATGTGTCTACAACAACATAGATATGGGCTGTACAATTTCTTGAAACAAATGATATAGACGAAACTAAATCAGTTTTTTAGGACCATAGTGGAAAGAAGCAGTCTGTTTAGATCCACATCAAAAAGTTTCAGGATATCCAGTGTAGGATCTGAGACAATCTACTGGTATCCAAGTTAAAAGTGAAGGAACAATGCATTGGATATCCGGAAAAGCAGTACTAAAACAGCTTATTACAATCTCCCTTCGATAATCTAATAAGCACAACCAGTTCAAGACAGATCTTTACAACTGATTTTAAGTAATACAAGGTGTATTAGAGAGAGAAAATCATTATAGTGAACAACTGAAAAGGGATCAACTTAGGAATAACTTCAAAATATTAGGTCTCAGGTCTCGAGAAGAACCAGACTATTAACGGTCTACACAGGATTCCAGAGCGAAAGTCAGAATGAGAGCAGTAAAAGAGCAGCAGAAAACGCCAAGGGATACAATGAATGTACAGAAGTCAGCAAACCATTCAACAAGATCATTACAGCTGAGAAGTGGAAGTGTGTAGGAAACCTGGCAACAACTTCCGAGGAAGCTACGAGAAAACGAAATGAGACAGCCATGCGTTATAACCAAGAAGCTGGAGGCGAAACCCAGTAAACAAGGGTGACCAATCAAAAGGGAGGAAGGGAAACTAAACACTTAGGATCAACAACTGTGGAACAGGAGGATAAAACATTTTGAAGAGCTCTTGAATAGACCAAACTCACTGAACCACATCAAAGCGGCTGATAGGGACAGCTTCGCACATGTTAATCTACCAGAAGTCGAAATAATTCACAAAGTCAATGTACAATTCGAGAAGAGTGAAGCAGGAGGGCCAGATAATATACCAACTGAAGCTTTGAAGTTAGGTATTGAGAGGTAACCGCAAAATGATCCAGATTCATTCCAGAAAGTTTTGAGAGGAGGAACAAAACCCGACAGACTGAAAAGAGGGATGCCTCATCAAGTTATCGAAGGACTGAGGTCAAGGGCAAACAAAGTTTGCAACTATGCTGCCGTATAGAGTAGTCACACAACTTCGAGGTCAACAAGGTTGGTTGATGTACCGACCGAATCACGATACTGTAGATCATAGCTGAAAAATGCATGGAACTCATCACCAACTTCCTTAATTACAAGGAAGCACACGACAACTCAAATAGGAAAACTCGTAGAATCTTCGCCAGCATTATGAATTAGATGAGAACGTTGCCATCACCATACGTAACTCCTACGAAGAACTGAAAGTAGCTTGATGAGTTAAATACTGCAGATGAATCAACCCTGCTGTTCAATACATAGCAATGAAAGTAGAAGACAACTAGTGTGGCGACGACCTCTGCCGAAATAGTCCTCGACATTCACAGGGGATAAGATCCTGAAATTCAGCATAGGAAGCAACACTCAAATCATGTTTGGTGTAGAAGCTCTAAAAGTTTTGGGAGCCTCCACAAAACTGATCAACATCACTGATAGATATGGAAGGTTTGTCGCTGTTGTGGATGCACGAATCGCCAAAGCAAGGACAACATAATCGCAACTGAAACCTATCTGGAAATCAGTTGGATAGTCAGTCAGGATGAAAGTCGGAATCTTCAATACCAACGTTAAACAGTTTGTTTGTGTGGTGCTGAAACTTGCAGAACCATCACGACCACCATTACCCGATGGTACAGGTATTTATAAACAGCTTTCAATGTGAGATACTTCAGAAAAGTTGGTCATACACCATCATCAATAATCTACTCTGTTAGACAATGTATCAGCCATTAATCGGAGAGAATAATAAGGAGAGCTTCGGAGATAGATAGATCATACTTCACGGGAACCACATTAACCTGCATTACAAGGCAATCGTTAACTTGAAATGTTCAAGGATTAAGGAGAAGAAATGGATCAATGAACAGATATCGCCAAGAATCCGTAACAGATAACAAGACAATGATTAACAGTTGGAAAAAACTGAGAAGAAGATTAGGATAGAGCTAGTTGGGGATCCCTGGTTGGCTCCTTGTATCCTCTAAGGCTTCTTGTAAATAAGTAAATAAGCCCAGTTGTTAGAAGCAGATAGAAAATGGTCATCATAATTCACACAAACACACTTAAATAGATCTATTGTTGTTGTCATTTATGTTTAAATGTAAATATTGCCCAATACCAGAAATGATAAAATTTATTGTTAACCGACCAGACTGTTTAGGTTACTTCATTTTATCTAATCATGTAAATTATCTCATATTGTCTAATTAGGTCTCAACTGGCTCTGCAGTTATATATAATCTTTATAACAAACCATAAGAGCTGATCATTGGTAAAACTTCTAATATCAATTTAGTGAAATCATTTTTACTGGAAATTTCGATGACAGGTTAACTTCAACTAAACAATTTATCAATATGTATCAGTGAACGCCAACTCAATGGTGTTCAGGCAACTCAACCATTGTAAATCTTAAATTTTGTGAGTTCGAAACTTTTCAGACAATAGGTGGATTTGCATTTTAAAACTAAACATCTCCCCTATTTTCCTTGGCTTTTAGTAAGTGCTTATAGTGCATCAGTGCACAGAGAAAATTATCTTAAAGTTGACAGTTTTGTCAACCATATCTGGATTAATATTCGGATGTATAAAACATAATTTATGAAAACCGTTATAATACATTATGAAGCAAGTCGTAACTTTTATTTATAAATTTAAATTCAACTCTAAAGACA